GCGTGGGGTTGAGTTGGTGGGGTTTGGTGGAGTCCGGGTCCGAGGAGTGCGCGCTGAAGGGCTCACCCGGGTCGTCATCGATTGACGTCGTTAGGGATAGAAAATAACCAATCGAGAAAAAAAAAAGAAGTAGTATGAGAAGAAGAAGTATCTTGATTTTTTGCCGTTTAAATTTGTAACGATAGCGTGCGAAATTTTTTCTTTGCTTAAGATCTAATAACATACTATAGACAATGAATATATGGGAAAAAATATTTACAAGCGATTTAAAAGTAACTTTTGACCTTTTATAAATAGATAAGACATCCAAAACGATGATGCGGAAAAAAGAAAAAAAATAAAGATGAGGCAAGGAAAGTGAAAAAGTGCTTTCCGCTTCTCTAGCGAAGCTGCTAAAGACATTCATTCTTTATTGTCACAAATTGTAGACTCACTCTCGCAACTTTATTCTAGGGTTGTATTTTTTATTTTAAGGCGTTTGATCTTGATCTTCCTTCTTTGCTTCGGTGGGATCTGGCTTTATCTTTTTAGATTTATCCACATTTTTCCCTTCAGTAGCCTTTTTTTTTTGCCGTAACTCGTCTCCTATCATTCTTTCCAAGGATTTTAGTTCTGCTTCGTAAGCCTCCCTTTCGGTGGGCTGCGGGACAAATTCGGTTAGTTTTCGCTTAATCCCATATTTAAGCATTTGCGTGTGGCTTAACTTTGAGAACGATCCGGCAGCTTTCTGTTTGCTTTTTTCCTTTTTATCGCAGGCGTAGGACCAGTGGTCGGTGGAGCTACAGTATTGGCACCGTTGCTCGCCTTTGCCCTTATGACGGGGGACGCTGTAGCCTTTGGGTGGCCCACTATTACTGTTCATAGCTCAGGGAAAGAGGCCTCCAGCGCCGAATGCGATTCCCCAGAAAATACTAGGTCTTTTTTTTTCTTTACATTTAAAGTATACAAAATAGTAAAAAAAGAGGGGAAGTAAAGAGATGTACAGGTTGAATATTAAAGGAAAAATAGGAAGACATGAAAGGCGGGAGTACTATCCTTTTTTTTCCATGTAGGATAGACTGCAGCTGGACTTTTCACATCAAGCCCTAGCGCGTCTGTTATCGCTGGTTTCTGACATTGTATATAGAAAAGAAGTCACGTAAGCTATATGTGTATATAATTGATTGGGGTGGATTTCAATGAATCTGATAAGTAACATTGCATAAATAAAGGACACCTATGTATACATACATGTACCTATATATATATATATATATACATAAATATGGATTCCAATGTTGCTAATTTCTCCTTTTTTCCCCTTAAGAGGATTATATCCCTTCGAGGGTGTTGATTGCTTCCTTTCCACCTTATTCCCTCTCCGCGATTCGTGCGGGTTAAGGTTCCAACAAAATGGACACCCCCGCAAGTACAAAGAGCTCCGCGGCCTCCTCCGACTCGCAAGGGAGGACGAAGTCGCCGAGGTAGTCCTCCTTCGTCCCGTTCACGTAGACCGGGACGCTGACGGAGGCCGCAAAAGTTGGGGGTGTCGCCATCCACGCCAGGAAAGTCCGCGGGATTGCGAAGAAGGCGGGCTCGTCAGGGGTCGAAATCGCCTGAAGGACGTTCGACGTGTCCAAGACGGCGCCCTGCAGTAAAAGCCCCTCGAGCGAGGCCGTCAGGGTGGCCCGGGGCGGGGGGGTCGCGATTGAGGCCACAAGACGAAGCTGAACGAGCGGGATCTGCTGCACGTGCGCGGTTTCCTGCCGAAACGCGTTCAAAAACGTCCGCGGGGAGAGAAAAAAGGAGAGATCCAAACTCTCCTTCAGCAGCGACCCATTCACGGCGAGGTTCCGCCAGTGGAAGATTTTGTTCGTTTTCCGAATCAGGGCCTGCATCCACCCCAGGGCGCGGAGGGAGCAGGTGAAGTGGCCTTCCCAGTGCGGGGGAATATCGCCCTGGATCAGGCAGGCCGCCTCCTCGCGGCGGTCCTCCGTGAGAAGGGCGCTGCCCTCGATGACCCTTTGCAAATCCCCCATACACGCATCCACCACCGCGACGAGCCGCAGCGCGGTGTCCATCTCCGTCAGGATGAAATTTTCGATCGTCCGGGTCTGAATGAGCGAGGCCGAGTTGATGGAGGAGTGGCGGGAGAGCAAACTCGTATTCGCCGCCGTTAGCGTCCGCCAGGCGTCGACGACGGTTTGAATCCGCGCGACCCACTCCTCGCGGCTCATCGAGGCCGCCACCTTCACATCGCGCAGGCGTTGGAGGTCCAGGCAGAGCTGCCGAACCCGGCAGAGCTGCACGACGCGGTCGGCGTTAGGGGGGAGGGAAAAAAGCGAGGGCACGTCGTTCGCGGGCAGGGCTTTGATGACCTGCAGGTGGTCGTCGTAGCTGCACCCGCCCGGCATCCGCACCCCGCCGAAGAGCGGGCGAGGCGGCCGGGCCGTGGACATGTGGGAGACGTGGAAGAACTTCGCGAGGTAGGTCCGGAGGATGCGCCAGTCGTAGTCCGTCTCCATCTTCGAGCCGTAAATCGCGTTCGCGAGGAGGCCTTGGATGGCGGCCCAGTCGACCTCGGTGCGGGTGCACTGGCGGAGGATGATGTCGCTGGCGGACTTCATGTCCGAGGCGGTCAGCTCGTAGGACTTCGTCCAGCCCTGCGGGACGTAGAGCCGGCGCTCCTGGATGACGCCGTGGAAGGCGGCGGCGATGAAGAGCAGCTCTTTCTGGTAGTCCATGTAAATGTTGAAGTTGTCCTTCCCCCAGTCGGTGTAGGTGCGGAGGAGGTTTTGCCGGATCCCCGGCGGCGCCTCGTAGGTCACCTTCAGGCAGTGCGCGAGGAGGATGACGGGGAAGTCGTCGTGGGCCTCGGTCGTGAGGAAGAGGCGGAAGCCGTCGTGCGGGCGCAGGAGGTGGAGCTCCTTCTGCAGCGTCCCGACCCAGCCCAGGACGAGGTGGAGGTTCTTGAGGAAGACCCAGTCCCCGCGCTCGGCGGCGGCGCGGACGAGCTGGAGGGCCTCGTCGGTCTGGCCGCTGCCCATCGCGAGGGCGTGGAAGCGCGTGCGGCCGACCTTCCGCCGGGCCATCGCCTCGATCTCCGGCGAGGGGTCCGAGCCAGGGGTGGTGATCAGCAGCACCGGCGTCGCCGCGTCGACGGCCTCGTCGAGGTCGGCGAGGGGGTCGGCCTCGTCGAGGCCCTCCACCCCGAGCAGCTCCGCCGCCGCCAGGTCCATCGCGGCGATCAGGCGGTCCGCCCGCAGCGTCTTCATCGCGAGCAGGCGCTGCAGGGGCCGGAGGGGGCGGAGGAAGTCGGGGTAGGCCCGCTCCGGCGTCGGCGACTTCATCCAGCGCAGCCAGACGTCCGCCTCGTCGAGGTGGAGCTGCGCGAGGAGCTCGGGGAAGCCCCGCGCGAGCCCGCGAAACGTCTCGACGCTGTCGGGGAAGAGAAAAGTCGGGAGCCCGGGCTCCCGCTCCCGCTCCCGCTCCCCCCCTTCCAGCCCGACGGCGGCGCCGATGAAGAACTCCCACTCCGCCGGGGTGGCGCCCTCGGGGTGGAGGCCGTGGGCGAGGTGGGCGATGTAGACGGGGCGGTGCGCCGCCAGCAGCGCGCGCGAGATGGCGGCCACGACGAGCTGCAGAAAGGTCCCCTGCAGGGCCTGGATTTTGGTCTCGGGGTCCGTCCGCAGCCCCGCATGCCGCGCGAGGGTCTGCCGGAAAAGCCCCATGAAAAGCGAAAAGGAGAACTGGTACATGTGGGACAGCTCCTTGAGCGCCTTGGTGAGGAAAAAGACGCGGCTCGCGACGATCGAGAAGGGCCGGTAGACGTCCCGCTTGGCGTCCAGCTCGGCCTGGACGAGTTTGGACTTCGTCAGGCCCTCGCCGATCTCGCTCGCCTGCGTTTTGATGCGGTTGAGGGACTCGATCAGGGAGGTGTTGTCCAGCAGGGAGCCCTGCGAGTTGGCCAAGTCGAGCAGCAGCGACTTCTCCAGCTCCTCGAGCTGGACTTTCAGCGTCTCCTCCTTGGCCAGGATGGAGAGTTTTTCCTTCTCAAGCGTCGGCTGCTCATGCTGGATCGTGACGCTCAAGAACTGCCCTTCCAGCCCGCTCTGCGTGATGGAAAAGTTCACCGGCGTCAGGTAGCTGAGGATGTCCGGGGGGATCGGCATCCCGCTCGCGCGGGTGATTAAATAAAGCTGGAAGCCGTCCCCGTAATCCACGCTGCGGCGATCGCCAATGCTAATCACCTTCTTGCTGCCCTCATTCCGCAGCTCTTTCCGGATAACCGAGTACATAAAGGGCTCGATGTGATCGACCTCGGTCAGGATGAACTTCCGGCCAAAGCGAAGCGCGAGCTCCAGCGCGGAGACCAGGCGCTCTTCGGAAAAATTGCACACCTCGACGTTCTCTTTTTGGTCTTTGAGGAAGTTCGACAGCCAGACGATCGCCTGCCCAGAGGGATCCTCGATAAGCGGGGTGTTGATCTGCTCTTGGATAATCAGTGCGTTGTCCATGGAAAGCTCATCACCGGGCAGGCCCTGGGTTTTGTAATGGAGCTGCATGCTTTCCTCGCGAAGAAAGGTAAAAAAGTCAAACTCGTCGAGTTTCACCGTTTGCATCCACTCCGCCAAGACCTTACGGCGAACGCTATCATCCTCGCGGCCTAAATAGGTAATAAACCCCGCCGCCAGAAGACAACGACTGGGTAAGAGGACCAAATCCGAGGCGTAGGTTTTCATCTGGATCGTCCAGCGCTCGTGCTCCGTGCTGAGCTTCGAAAGCAGATCCTTTGCGTTGTTTAACAGTTGCTCCGCCTGCTCGAGCTGCCCGCGAAGCCGCTCCGCCTTGGTAGTTTTATCGCCAAACTTCTTCCGCAGCTCCTCCACGGTGGACTCGAGCTTTTCCAGCTTGCTCTCGTACTTTGCCTTTTTGTCCTTTCCCTTTTGGAGGTTTTCCTCGGATTCCCTCAGCTCTTCGCGCATCGGCTCGACCGTCTCGAGCACGAGGCTGTACTGCACCACCGCCTTGAGCCATTCCGCCATCGGGGCCGCCGCCTTGGAGGCCCGGCCGATGACCTCGCGCTTAAAGGAGTTCTCCTTGGCCTCGATGACCTTCTTGACGAGATTTCGCGTGGTGGGCTTGACGTTGTCGATGTCGTAGTGCAGGATTTGGCCCTTGATGTCGCCGCCGAGCATCTTGCGGATGGCGGCCCAGTTGCGGTCCACCATCGCGCCGTCCTGGATGAGCACCACGACTCCTTCCATCACGTCGTGCACGGCGGGCGGCGGCTGCTTCATCGACTTCAGTTCGGTGATGTGGTCGGAGCGGATGGCGCTGACGGACGTCAGCGCGGCGTCCAGGACGGGCTGAATGCTGCTCAGCTCGCCCTCAATCAACGTCTTGCGCTCCGTGATGGTCTGCTGGTCCTTGGTGAGCTCGTTGTGGATTTTGTGGATGCCGCGCTTCTGCTCGCAGGCCTCTTTCATCTTCGATTGGATCTTCTCCAGGGCGTCGTTGGCCTCCTGCTGCTTCGTCTCCAGCTGCTCTTTTTTGGAGGACACGTCGACGGCGATTTTGTCCACGTTTTCATGGGCCTCGTTCAGCTTGTCCACCCCACTCTTCAGACGGGCCAGGCTGTCCTCGACTTGCTGGTTCTTGAACTTGAAGATCTTCTCGTAGGTTTGACAAAACGCCTTGAAGTGTTGGGGCGAGAACTTATCGCCAAAGTAGCGGTGAAGGTGAACGAGTTCCGTTGTCAGGCTAAATTCCCTATTTTTGACATTCATGGATTCTAAGGTCTTGTAAACATCACTGATTAAAATCCGAGGGATGAGCTTCAAACTCGACGTATCCCACGTTCCCATCCAATACACATTCGTGTGCGTAAACAGCGCGGGATTTGCACGGCATTGCATGTCAAACTGGGGGTTCGTAGGATCCATAATG